CAGTTCGGAGAGGCTCATATTCACAAATTGACCATTGAGCCTTAGCCCAAGAGATGCCTGAAAAAACCTCTGATCCCACAAGTCCCAAGGTGAAGAGCATCTATCATTGAATATTCTTCAATTTCTTTCCAACTGAATACTCCACAATCCTGCAAAAATGTCCACTCTCCAGAGTGGTTTTGCCTCCTTCCTCACTCCTATCCTTGAATATAAGAGCAAACAAAGCAATCCACCTAGTGGCGAGCAACACAAGGGATCCCAAACAGGCCCAGTAGCCTTGACCACAAACTACAACCCATATCACAATGCAGAAAAAGTGAGCATGTGTTTCTCCATTCTGTCAACACAGAAAGCAAATGATCAGAGAGATAGTGCAATTCAGTCGACACTTTCGCAGTAACTCATAGGTACATAAGCCTCTTAAGAATTTTTGTCCACACAAACACCTTAATGTTAGAGGGACCTTAATCTTCAATAACACATTAGCGTAAGGAATTTGGGAGGTAATAGTGTTTAGCCAGGTGGTGAAAAAATGATTTGGAAGTATATACACCATACGGATATAAACACCACCATCTATAGTCAAGTGTCCGTGTACGGTGATAGGTATCTAATGCATGTAATAAAGCAATCAAATCTTCGACCTCTTATCAGCCAACCCATGAGAAAACTGGAAGTCCCAGCCAACAACATCATTGTGGGTCACGACAAATGAGGAAACGAGTTCATGATGTCTAGTGGATATGTTATATAGACATGGAAATTGAGCCATCCCTCAAGAACATCCCACCCATTCCAACCACCACTATCGATATTCTTAATCATCTTGTGACAATAAATTAGCTTCTTGAGAAAAATGCAATAAGCATTTAGCCAATGATGATATATTCTTAATAACTAGATTCCTAACACCTAATCCTCTCCGATCTTTAGGCTAACAACAAATTCCCACTTTACTAGATGACCATTAAACTCTCACCTATCCTGCCCATAAAAATCTCCTTATACATCTCTCAAGTCTCTCTACAACATGTAGATGCTCCGAACAAGAAAAAAACATGTATATGGGAATGCTAGACAAGCTCACATGAATAAGGGTGAGCCAGCCTCTCAATGAAAGAAGACCTGTTTTCCAACAATCTAACCTCTTAAACACTTTGCTAAGTACCTCCTCCCAAAAATTCCTCTTAAGGTTACCTCCTAAAGCAAGCTATGTAATTCACCAATATAGTTCAGTGCCACCAATGACCTCAGATAATTCCCTCAACATTTCGTCCTCCATGTTGACTCCCATTACCCCAATTTTTGCAAGGTTTACTTACAAATTGGAAACAAATTCAAAGATTTGCACTACAATGAGAGTATTAGAAATTTAATTACTATTATGGGCCAAAATTATAATTATATCCTTTTTTTTAATTAAAAGTAGTAACATTGTACTGCTATAAGCAACAGAAGTGCAGAGTAAAAAAGAAACATGTACAAATTATTTACTGTTTAGTTCTCCGTAACAAAAATCTTCCTGAAAGACTCAAAATAAACCGGAGGATGACCCACTAGCAAAAATTCAAGGGTCCTAAGCAATCTATTCTTCAAAACATCAAAACCCATAGTGTCAAATATTATAATTATATCAACAGCAAATTGCAAATGTGCTACCCCTTCTGTTTCTTATCTTGCTACCCAACCCTCTGTTACTTCCATGCCCCTTTGCAACATCCTGTTGAAATCCACCACCAGAGTAAATAGGAAAGAAAATAATGGATTTCCTTGTCTTATTCTTCAAGATCTTGTTAACCACTCTTGGGTTTGGCTATTAACCATTACTGCAAAGGAGATAGATGAAAGACACCCCTCATCCATTTTATCCATCTCTCCCTCGACACCTTTTCTGCTAGAACTTCGAACAAAAACCTCCAATTCATTTTATCATATGCTTTCTCAAAATCTAGCTTAAGCACGACTCTTAATTCTTTATTTTTCTTAATGTATTCTCCTACCTCATTTGCCACAAGAAAAGCATAAAAGATTTTCTGTCCACAACAAGTACACTCCGACTTAGTAATATACTATCATCTGATACCTCACCAAGCCTCAAGAATAGCACTTTGGTTATTACCTTATAGATACCTGTCACTAGGTTGATTGGTTGGAAATTAGATACTCTCTTATTAGACCTATTCTTCTTGGGATAGGGTAATAAAAATGGAGTTCATGCCTCTACCACATCTATTTAACACTGGGTCAAACTAGTTTCCAAGTGATTCATTGATATCTCTTTATTTTTACATTTAGTTCCGTCACAGCCATGCTCTAGTGTCCACTTTTGAAAAATTGAATATCTAGAATATTACGAAAAAGAATGAGTCGCCAATAACAAGGTAGACTCAATAGATTTTCATGGTTGTAGTTATGTAGAAAAAAGCCCTAAAATGGAGAAGGATTATTGGCATCAAACTAACATAAATCAGATTCTAGTTAGCAGTGGAACAGAAGCTAAAAATCTTACTTTTTATTACAGAGTTGTATGAATGTAGTTTCAACTTCAACTGGGGAGCATCTAAATCTTCCAAAAGAACTACATTCACAACCTTTCGGATTATGGGTAGATAACAAATTAGCATGAGAACTCAAAAATTTTTTGTTTCTTTTCAATGTGATCCCTACAGCGATCCTATTCTATGTGATGTCATCCCTACGAAGGTTACACAATTCCTCCTTGGCCACCCTTGGCTTTTACTGAGATGTTCATCATAGTAAGAGAAAGTGCATATTCTTTTTCTTCTGGGAAAGAAAGAAAGATTATTATACAACCTAAAGAGGCATTGGTATAAAGAGGTGTACAGGAAAAGAAAAGAACTACATTGAGAAAGCAGCCCATAAATCTAAAGACATTGTTAAAGTGAAGAAAAAGCAACTCCATCTTATGGCGGACAGAATCCAGAAGAGACAAATAATCTGGAATTTGTCATCTGCAGAAGAGACGCTTGAAGGTGGAAGGTGGAAGGTGGAAAGTGGAAGCTGCCCATCCGAGGCTGCTGAAGAGAAAGAACCTTAGTTGTCTTGACTGCCTTAGTACCCTTCTCATAGTTAATAGAGCACTTCCAAAATCAGCTCCCAACTTCTTCCCCCTCTCTTATGTTTCTCAGGCACCTTCTCCATGCTAGCTCACTCCACAAGTTCCTTTTCCTCCAATTTCCTGAACAGCTCCCACAATCTTTTTTCCAAACCCTCAAAATAAATACCCACAAATTCACTAAAAGCCTATGCCAAACTCACCTTCCAATTCTCCACCTTATTCACTGATCTACCACCACTAGAGATGCCCTTGGAGTTAGGTGCAAGAAGGAGTATATAAATTGAATTGGGTCTAATCAAAGTGATGGAATGCACAACTCATTTTCATGAGAGCCTTGATGGCTTCAGCTTCTCTGACTCAAAATAGCTTTTAGTGTCTCTTTTAGAGAAAGATGGAGAAGAGAAAGAACGATATGAGGAAGTAAGACAGGTGTTCAATGACCTGATTCAAATATTTAAAGATAATACCACACACATTCTAATCTTGTGGACTTTTAACACCAGCTAAAGTTGAGTCTTATGTTTTCTAGGTTTCACAAGTAATAATTCGCCTTCAACCATGACAACTTAGGCTTGAATATCGCATTGGGGGAGCCCAAACTGTAATCTCGCTCCGGTAGTGCATGATGACACTCTCCTTAGCCTAGTTGACTTTTTAAGAACCAAGGAGATAGCATTGGCCTTCACACTTTGAATTGGTGGAGGTTATTGCAACACCTCAGCAAAGGATTTAGGAGGCCTACTTCACTCAACCTTCACTACCAGCCTCATCCATATGTAGGGGCATAACCCATTAACATAACAAAACTTGCACTTTTGTCATCCTTGCTAAGACACACGTCAAGATCAAGGATGTCTATTTGTTGTTCAACTACATTGGTTTCCTATGACCTTTCCTTATTTTGATCTTAAAACACGCCATGTCATTGATAGGAACAGCCTTCACCAGCCATCAACCCCATGCCTCCCATAACAACATCTGCACTAAGCTCCCTAACCTCTAAAATGCTGCCTCTAGAATTTCTTCTCAAAGACAATGACATGGTGCAGTTTGCATTTCTAAGGCACTTACTAAAGTTGTGCCCTCTGACACCAAAAGAAATATATATATATATATATATATATATAAAGCCCTAAACAACAACTGATCTAGAGGTCGTAAAAAACGAACTAGAGCTTGTTGCAAAACCCATTCTCAAATGATACCAAGATAATTTAGATTTTACCTTTGAACACCATGTCTGAAGAAGTCCCTTCAATGACCAGAAACTTTTTGAGAGAATTGATAGCATGATTTTTTTTTAGATAAAAAAACAATTAGAGTAAGAATATAACACCAAGGGAGTGCTGGCCCTATACAAAAGATTTACAAGTCAGTTAAAACATCAAAAACCTTCCCAAAATCATCCCACCCATTTACATCATGCCCCAGAATTAGAGACCCAAATGTATACAACCATCTAACTCTAATTCTAACAAAGTCCCACGCACAACCATTAAACGTTCTATTGTTTTTCTCTTTCCATACCACACAAAAAATAATTAAAGGAATAATTTTTACAACAGTAGACTTTTTCCCAATCCCATCTCACGCCCAAAGTTCATTTTTCACTGATCCCCCAATCACCCAGTTGATTCCCATTAGGCTATACACCATATTCCATAAACTATAGGTCACCGGACACCAAAGAAGGAGATGATTGCATGATTCAGCAGCCTCCATGCATAAGTAACAACCATTAACCGTAATGTGGCCCCTTTTCATCAACTTATTAATAGTAAGGATACATTCCCGACCAGCTTTCCAAGCAAAAAAAAAAAAAATTCTTGGTGATGCCTTGACTTTCCAAACCTGCTCATCCGAAAATTTCATGACGTCACTATCACTAATGGACAAGTGGTTGTAGTAGGACTTAATTGTAAAGATACCATCTTTCTTGAATGTCCACATAGCATTATTCTTATGAGTTTCTGTTATGTTCCCTGATTAAGGATTGAGTCACCGGGTGGTTAACAACAAAGCCGTCTTCCAATAAAAAGTTAACATCCTTATTCTTATTGCGAGAGCAAACTATTTTATGAAAATAAATTACAACTCATCAAAAAGAGCTACTACCTTGGATCTTGTTAAAGAGAGATTCAATCTTATAATTTAAAATCATATCTGACTTATCTTTATTAATATCAAGTATACCCTTTTATATAGATGGTACAATTCTTATCTAGCAATGTTAATCTAATTTGGAATCTAAATCTAATTAAGAATACTTTACTAAAATATTAGAAATCCTACACTATTTAAAAATCAAATACTAATAGAAAATATATATTATTTAGGAATCTAATACTAATTAGAATTCCAACTATTTAGGAATCTAATACTAATTAGGATTCCATATTTAATTGAACGTCAATTTCCTATTCTTGTTGCGCTATATTTGCATCGCTAACATTAATTCCGCCTAATTTTCAAGTTTGTCCTCAAGCTTGAATTGTGGATATATCTGCCTTGTTGATACTTTCTTATTACTCAGGACCAGTGTTGCACTCAATCTCGATCCAAAACAGTTGTTTACATTGGTGACCCGAAACAAACGGTTCATCGCAGTTATAACACAATCTCTTCAATCTTTTTTCTGTTATCAGTACCCTTTTAAGTTTCTTTATAAATGAAGAGGAAGTGTTACCAGATTGTGGCGTGAAGTTGCTACCCTGTGGTGTTTTCTAAATTGAATTGCTAGGCTTAATAACAGACTGAAAATGATTATTATAATTGTATTTGGTCATATCCCACAACTGTTGTTTCCTTTCAAAATCCCTAACATACTCATTGCGTGCATTAGAGTGGTGGACGATTACATCTCAACTTCCAACCTGATTGAATCTACTAGACTCGCAGTAAACATGTCAACTTGTTGGTCTTGCCGTACTTTATGGGCATAGGCCAAGAGTCTCTGAAACTGTCATATATTGTCCTCCACTGTGTCTGTTTGTTTCAAGCTGATTATCTCTCCTAATGAATTGTTCTGCAGGGACACACCAAACCACAATATGCAGAGTCAACAAACTAGCCCCATGACATCCTTGTCTCCTCCTATTGCAGTTTGTAATACTAAAGTTGAGCATCGCCTAACAAGTGGAAGGCTGTCAATTCAACCTTGTCATTGTTAATCGTTTTTTGATTAATAAAAAATTGTTCGCAATGATGGAGCCAAGCCAACGGGTCATCCAATCCCGGTAGGTGGGAAAATCAAATTTTGTATAATGAGGAACCCATCCGTTGTTATGGGAACTGATGTTAGATTCTTCGCGCCCCTGATTTAATATGTCGTTTTTTTCCCTCCCTGATTCTTATTTGAACCACCGTTATCAGTTTTTACATTATTAATTTTCTCTTTTTCTTGGACTTGGGCGGTTTGGCCAAGAAGAAATTCTAATTGTTGTGTGATTTGGCGCAAACTTTCTAAATTCTGCAACTCTTCACGTAAACTTTGGTCGCCCATGGTGTCTTGCTCTGATACCAAATTGTTATATTCTCTGATTAAGGATCGAGTTATCAGATGGTTAACAACAAAGTCGTCTTCTAATAAAGGGTTAACATCCTTATTCTTATTGCGAAAACGACCTATTTTGTGAAAATAAATTACAGTTCATCAAAGGAAGTTGCTATCTTGGATCTCGTTAAAGAGAGCTCTAATCTTATAGTTTACAATGATATTCTGACTTATTTGTATTAATATCAAGCATAACCCTTTATATATAGGTTACAATTCATATTTAAGAATGTTAATCTAATTTGGAATCTAAATCTAATTAGAAATACTTTACTAAGATATTGAAAATCCTATTCTATTTAGAAATCAAGTACTAATATAAAATATATATTATTTAGAAATCTAATACTAATTAGGATTCCAACTATTTAGAAATTTAATACTAATTAGGATTTCATATTTAATTGAACGTTAATTTCTCATTCTTGTTGCGTCTTCTGTATTTGCATCCATAACAATTTTCAAATGCACATCAGCAAGAACTTCAAGGAATCTAGTAAATTCATCAATCTTCCAATCATTAAAATTTCTATTTAGATTTATGTCCCACCCGCACCTCCCATCCACCCCTCTAAACACCTCCTCCACCACCACATTCTTTCTAATGGCTAGGTTATAAATTCTAGGGAATTAGTCCCAAAGATTGCCCCTCCCACTCCACTCATCCTCCCAAAATATAATGATATTGCCCCTCCCAAGCTTCCATTGGATACCTTCCATGAACTGAGACCTCCCCATACTAATCTCTCTCCATAAACCTACCCCATGAGGCTAGTAATCAATCTACTGCTCCCTCTCCCCACACAGTCCCCCCACCTTGCCCCAATAACCCGACACCACAACCTCCCCTCCTACGAAAGAAATCTCCATATCCACTTCCCTTGTAATGCCTTATTCAGCTCCACCGAAGACTGGAGACCCAAACCCTTACACCTTGGTTGTTTCACATCCTCCCACTTAACCAAATGATATTTCGACCCCTATCATCACTCCCCCATAAAAGACAACATTGAATATTTTCCAATCTCTTAGCAATTTTCACAAGCAAAGTCATAGTAGATAAAAAATAGATAAGAAGATTGGTGAGAGTTCTTTTGATAAGAGTTAATCTTCCACCCTTGAAAAGAAAATTCTTTTTCCAGCCCGCAAGCTTTCTCTCAAATAATTCAACCACCAGATCCAAGGACTTCACATCTTTATACTTAGCTCCCAAAGGTATACCCAAATACTTAATAGGCAGCTGTACTGGCTATTTCAAAAAAAAAAAAAGGCAGCTGTACGGGCTTACACCCAAGGATCCCTGCAAATCTGGCACCAACACCCCTGTTACCTGATTGATAGCATGATTTTTCAGTTGGCAAAGTTGACCGAGGAAGATAACAAGGGCAACAAGAACTTTTCTCGAAAACTGAATGATTAGAGTCTATTACAAAATATTGAAGTTTGTTTTTAAAAAAAAAAAGTATTAAAGAGGAATATCTATAGCTTCTATGAGAATATATTGAAGCAACTTTTATTTGATTATCAAATCCATCACTAAAAGGCGGCCTTTGATAGGAGTAAATTTGTCGGATTGGACACTACAAAAGTGTTTAGTCCTCTATTTGGTACCAAACAATAAGGATCAAATCAATACAAGAAACAAACAAATCTTTTCCAACTTCTACCACAAACCTAAAATTATTAGAAGACGAAAGTACACATGTTTGTTTTTTGCTTATTCATAAGGTAGCACTTGACAAGAGCAAATTCGTGGGACTACACACTATAAAACTGTACAGCCCTATGTTTATTTTTAACCCCTAATCCTATACATCTGAGTTTAATTTGTTATCTTATACTAAT